GTGTGTGTGTGTGTGTGTGTGTGTGTGTGTGTGAGTGTGTGTGTATCACCTGTATGGTGTGGCTGTAGATGGGCTCCCCGCGGCCCGTCAGGTCCACCGCTCTGCTGATCTCCAGAATGTTGTTTGGCACGTATCCCGAAGCGCCCATCCCGTTACGCACCTTCCACCACTGCTTCCTGTCATCCAGCACCTGGCGGCCAATCAGATCGACACGTCACATGACACATCATCAGTCATATCATCATCATCATCATCATCATCATCACGTGACGTACCTCCACCACCTCGTCTTTCATCACAGACAGTTCAGTGTTGTTTCTGGCCACGAAGTCATATCTGGATTTGGCAAAGTTTCTCTGCATCCGGCCGTGAGCCTCCAGGTTCCTGAAGAGAAAGAGTCAAAGAACCTCAACAAATGAGACACAGCCAAAAATCACGTTTGCCTTGTTTTTCAGTACAAACGGACAGATTCACTTGAGAAGCAAAATGACTTAAGCTGTTGTTTTATTGCCTTGTTTTCCTGAAATAATAATCAAAATTAAGTGACTTTAAGCTTAAAACAAAAGCAAATATCTGCTAATAATCAGAAAAATAAACTTGTTTTTTAAAATCAAATTTGCCGTTAATGCAAACAGCATAAATTTGGTCAAAAGTGTGTTTTTATTGGAATTATATTGATAAATATATACAAATAAATAATATTTCACACTCATTTCCTTTAGTAAATCTATTTTATACAAGGTGCAAAAATAGGACAAAAATGTCCCCATTAAAATGGCTGTATTTAATCCCAGTGCAATACAAGCATAAAATCATGCATTCTTTGTTAATAGGCTTTCATTCTGTTGGCAAGTGTTTTTCAGCTTTTTATTCTTTTCCACCTTATTGCACCATTTTCTCAGGTTTGGTTTATGGAGCAGATACTTGTTCTGTTCATGTTTTCTGCTTCTGCTGGAAAAAAATAATTGAAATTGAATTGAAATGATGTCATTATAATTGTGTGGGTGTGTTGGTATGGATATCAGAGTGTGGTTTATGTATGTGTGTGTGTGTGTGTGAGAATGGTATTTTTTTTATCTTAATTAATTTTTTTTTTATTATTTTTAAAACTTTTAAAAAGTCTATAATTAATTAATTAAATAAATCTGCTTAGCATTTAGAATATGGAAAATAATTGTTTTCTGGTGTGTTTTTTTAACTTTATTCCTTTTGCATCTCAAGTAAAGTATCTTGGTTTAACAATGTTGGCATATTTGCACTGCAAAACAAGACAAAAATGCTGAGGAAGAACGTGATTTTTTGCAGCGTAATCTCTTAAACACAAGCTCGCTCTCTTTAAATGTTGAATCTACTGATGAATGTTGTTATTGACCGACTGCTGCCGCCGTGGAGGAGCGTCTCAGAGCTCGAGAACGAGACGGGAAGAGAGTCTTTACTCCGTCTGAAGACACTTTAACAGACTGAGAGTTCGGGTCAGAGCTGAGAGTTTGAGAAGCAGAATGAACCCAGAAGCGTAGCGCGCGCTGAGCTGGTTCTCCAAGGCGCGCGGTGCGGTCGCTTGTACCCCGGTGGGTTTTACCTATCTACATGACGGCTGACCGCGTGTTTAAAAGCAGCCACGGCCATGTCTGGCTCCAGCAGGTGCAAACGCTTGTAAGAAGTGTTACTGTAGCCGTACCCGTCTGCGCCGGGGAAGTCCTGGACCACCGGCTGCTGTCGGGAGAGAAAAAAAACGCTTTCACTTCATCAAATACTTCACAGCGTCACACCGTAAGTGTTAAAGGTGAAAGAGCATCTCACGTCCACAGGTCTCTGAACCTCGGTCTGCGCCGCGCCGAGCCTATCCGCCAGCTGAGCCACGTCTTGCTCACGAGACACCAGCACCGGCGGCTCCCAGCCGTCCCGGAAACACAGCGTGTGCGGAGGAAACGGGTGATCCTTCGGCCACTCCAACCTCCACACAAGACAAATGTATCTCTAAAGCACTTTTCACAATACACATGCTTTTTTTGTTCTGTTAAGAGATTTAAATGTTATTTGATTTTGTTCGATTAAAACATTTAAATATCGGTCAGTTTTGTCCTGTTAAATTATTTAAATATCAATTAGTTTTGTTCTGCTAAAATGTTTTAATAGCGGACGGTTTTGTTCTGTTAAGAGATTTAATTATCGGTCAGTTTTTTACTAATAAGACATTTAAATATTGGTTGGTTTTGTTATGTTAAGAGATTAAAATATCGGTCATATTTGTTCTATTAAGACATTTAAATATTAGTCATTTTTGTTCTGTTAAGAGATTTAAATATTAGTTGGTTTTGTTCTGTTAAAATATTTAGATATCAGTTAATTTTGTTCTGTTAAAATGTTTAAATATCGAACGGTTTTGTTCAGTTAAGAGATGTAAATATCTGTCAATTTTGTTCTGTTAACAGATTTAAATGATTGATTTTAATTATGTCCCCACTGGATGCAACAAATGCCTAATTTATAATGGGGTTTCATGTTTATGTCTCGTCGCTCTGGCCGGACACGGCATCATCACAATGTGGTAAGGGGCGTAACATTTCCGTCACACGCTTGAGGTATTCGGCCAATCACAACCCAATGGATAACTGGCCAATCAGAGCACACCTCGCTTTTCAGACCAATGAGCTAAACATTGGTCGTTTTTATTCAGTTTATTCAATTTTTGTTTGGTTAAGAGATTTAAATATCGGTCGTGTTTGTTCTGTAAAAATTAAACATCAGTTGGTTTTGTTCAATTAAGAGATTTAAATGTTGTTAGATTTTATTCGATTTAAAAGATTTAAATATCAGTCAGTTTTTTTCTCTTAAAGAGATTTAAATACAAGTTGGTTTTGTTCTGATAAAATATTTAAATATCAGTTTTGTTCTGATAAAATGTTTTAATATCGGTCGTTTTTATTCTGTCAAGAGACTTAAATATCGGTTGGTTTTGATCTATTAATCAAATATTTAAATGTCTGGTCGTCTTTGTTATATTTAGAGATTTATCAGTTTTGTTCTAATAAGACATTTAAATGTTGGTTGGTTTTGTTCTGTTAAGAGATTAAAATATCGGTCATATTTGTTCTATTAAGACATTTAAATATTAGTCATTTTTGTTCTGTTAAGAGATTTAAATATTAGTTGGTTTTGTTCTGTTAAAATATTTAGATATCAGTTAATTTTGTTCTGTTAAAATGTTTAAATATCGAACGGTTTTGTTCAGTTAAGAGATGTAAATATCTGTCAATTTTGTTCTGTTAACAGATTTAAATGATTGATTTTGTTCAATTAAAATATTTAAATGTCGGTCGGCTTTGTTCTATTTAAAGATTTAATTATCGGTCAGTTTTGTTCTAATAAGACATTTAAATGTTGGTTGGTTTTGTTCTGTTAAGAGATTAAAACATTGGTCGTTTTTATTCAGTTTATTCAATTTTTGTTTGGTTAAGAGATTTAAATATCGGTCGTGTTTGTTCTGTAAAAATTAAACATCAGTTGGTTTTGTTCAATTAAGAGATTTAAATGTTGTTAGATTTTATTCGATTTAAAAGATTTAAATATCAGTCAGTTTTTTTCTCTTAAAGAGATTTAAATACAAGTTGGTTTTGTTCTGATAAAATATTTAAATATCAGTTTTGTTCTGATAAAATGTTTTAATATCGGTCGTTTTTATTCTGTCAAGAGACTTAAATATCGGTTGGTTTTGATCTATTAATCAAATATTTAAATGTCTGGTCGTCTTTGTTATATTTAGAGATTTATCAGTTTTGTTCTAATAAGACATTTAAATGTTGGTTGGTTTTGTTCTGTTAAGAGATTAAAATATTGGTCATTTTTGTTCAGTTAGGAGAATTAAATATCGGCCGGTTTTGTTTTGTTAAAATTTTTAGATATCAGTTGTTTTCGTTCAGTTAAGAGATTTAAATGATGTTTGATTTTGTTCAATGAAAAGTTTTAAATATCGGTCAGTTTTGTTCTATTAAGAGAGTCGTTCCAGTACCTGCATTTGGTCCATCCATCTCCCAGTGTGACCCACAGGTGTCTCTCCTCCGCCGAACCCGCCGCGTGCAGGAAGTCAATGGCTTCTCTGGTGAGGAGAGGAACGATCACGCTTTTAGCCAGATCCACCCCTCCAGACGTCTGGATCACCTGAGACACACACACACAGACACACGTCAGTCCGACAGAACGGCTGTTCCACACCCACACACACACACACACACACTCACACACACACTCACACACACACCCACACACTCACACACCACACTCACACAAACAGACACACGTCAGTCCAACCGAACGGCTGTCACACACACACACACACACACACACACACACACACACACACACACACACGTGATCAGAAGACGCACCAGTCTGAGAGGATTGAACAGGAAGTGGACCAGATCTACAGCGCTGGGGTTCTGAATGTGGTTCTTCAACTTCCCCTGGAACGACAAACAATAATCACATCACAGATCATCTAAATGAGATTCTCCTGCTAAAAATGTTCGTTACTGGGATGGGGACCTGGCTATCGTCACTCACCAGCAGGTTGAAGGCGTGTTTGAACTTCTGGAAACAGTCGATAAACTCGTCCTGAGACGGAGGTTTAGCTCTCAGCGTCAAAACCCCCTCTGATTGAAGACACACAGCAAACACACTCATGACACACTGACGATGAGGATGATGTGGATGTGTGATGTGAGGTGACGCTCACCTCCCGGTCCTCTCTTTTTGCTCTTCTTGGTTTTCTTGCGTTTGGAGAGCTCATTAAAGGCCTCGGCGGCTTTCTGCAGTTTGGTGACGAAGTATTCGATGTCATCCAGAATGTGATTGAGGATTTGCTGTAACACATGTCAGTATTTTACCATCTGCTGCCGACACACACACACAGTCACAAACACACACACACGTGACTCTCGCACACACACACACACACACACACACACGTGACTTTCGCACACACAAACCATCAATCTGACTGAAAGTCTTCAGGATGCCTTTTATCCACTGCAAAATATTATTATATTATAAAATTGCATTATAAACTGCAATCGCAATTTGTTTCCCCAATTCAGCCTGTTTTTTAATGAAATCGTCACATTGAAATCACATTTTTAAGTCAAATTTAAGGCTTTTTAAGACCTGAAGAAATAAAAATTAATACTGTACATTAGGGGTGTGCAAAATTAACAATAAATTATATCTCGATATTTTCAAAGATTCTGATGATGATATAAAATTAGATGATATTTTGTGTTTTATAGTGTTTTAGGCCTGTTGTGAACAGCTGACTCGTGAAGACGTTCATATTATTCATATTCTATGTGGTGGTCAGTTCACAGCAGTGACAGAAATTAACTTTTTTATTAAATGGCAATATTTGTCACCTTAAAATGATTTACAGGGGCATTTTTACCTATATAAGGAATTTTTTTCTATACTTACATTTGTATGCATCACCTTTTATGTCAAATTCTAACATTTAAAATAAGTTCAATTAGAACTTACCAATCAAATGAAATAGTTTTCAACAAAATAGCTTAACAGTGCAGACGTGACAGAAGTGGCATTAGCATAAATAATGCAATGAGATTGTTTTTAAAACGCAGATTCATTCAGTAACGAATCACTGCTGTGTGTTGCTCAGAGACTCGGTTCTGCTGTGGTTTCATTCTGAAATTTTCGTTGGCGAAATAAAGGAAAAACAAACAATACTGACAGTATTGTGTCTAAAATGTAACCCACAATGTTAAATTATTGTTTATTTAACTGTTGTATAAAATAAATATCACAGTTGCAATCGTGCTGATATTTGGGAAAAACGGCACTCTTTCTCGTGTGATATTTTGATATAACTACATATTTCGATATAAATTTGACATAAAATCATTGGGGGTAAAAATGCCAGTGTATCTTGAATTTTTGGGTCATATAACTGCATACATATCCCACACCCCTATGAACATAAAGAATCAACTTACAACTGAACTTACATTTACTCATTTTCTTCTCCTTCTCGCTCCCTTTCGCGTTCAAGAGACAGAGACAATACGTAATACGCTGTCATAAATGCCACGAGTTGTCACGAGAACAGGCAAATCCCCAAAGAATAGTAAAAATTATATAATGCTAATTCGGTAGTTTTATGTCGGTGAAGTATTTAGATATGTGACCCTGGAGCACAAAAGCAGTCTTAAGTCGCTGGGGTATATTTGTAGCAATAGCCAAAAATATATTGTATGGGTCAAAATTATAGATTTTTCTTTTATGCCAAAAATCATTAGGATATTAAGTAACGATCATGTGTCATGAAGATATTTTGTACATTTCCTACCGGAAATATATCAAAACTTCATTTTTGATTAGTAATATGCATTGCTAAGGACTTAATTTGAACAACTTTAAAGGCGATTTTCTCAATATTTTGATTTTTTTTGCACCCTCAGATTCCAGATTTTCAAATAGTTGTATCTCAGCCAAATATTGTCCGATCCTAACAAACCATACATCAATGGAAAGATTATTTATTCAGCTTTCAGATGATGTATAAATCTCAATTTCGAAAAATTGACACTTAAGACTGGTTTTGTGGTCCAGGGTCACATATGTCTAAGTCAAAGCGTCATCTAAAAAAAAAGTAAAAATAAGACTTTTAACAAAATTTATTTTAACAATCAAATGTAATACTTTTTAGGACTTTTTAAGGATCCGTGGGAGCAGGAACAGGATGTCGTCGTGTATCAGTGTAAACACTCACCACATCTCTGTCCACTTGAGCTGCGCTCATTTCAGGAGAGTCTTCCAGCTCTGTGTAATGTCTCTGTGGATCATCTGAGGACAAACACACACACAATGAGACTCTGGGACAGGAACTCGAGGGTTAACGACAGACACGCCTCCACTCACGCTCCTGCTGCTCATTGGTCCACGCAGACCAACTGGCCACTCGGCTCTTGGCGTCCGCTTGATTGATAGCTCCTGGAGGCTTGGGGGCGGGGCCTCCTGGGGGCGGAGGGATAGTTCCGTCACTCTTCAGAATCATTCTGACGGGGCACAGAGAAGCGGATGCTGCATTACCGTGGCAACAGGCATCTTTATAATTGACAAGCGCTGGACTTACTTCAGCACCTCCGGACGCTTCTTGGCCTTCCCGCCCTTGTGGTCGCTGACGGCGCTCTCGATGTCCACGTGGATCAAATTGGCCTGAGGAAGACAAAGCACACGGTCAGTACTGTGCAAACGCGTGAACGCGACAAACACTGCGGTGATGCCCGACCTTGATGTCGTCGCACTGGAACAGGTGCAGGTCCGGTTTGCCCTGGCTGGACTCCTTACACACCAGCGCCAGGATGGAGTCGTAGCTGCAGGCGTTCATCACGGCCTGACAGTGCTGGATTGAGCCCAGAGGAAAGTTCTCCAGCTCGTTCTGAAACACACACACACATGCATGTGATCAGGCCACACACGTATCATCGGGGGTCTGACGGCGGATCGGTGGGTTCGTATCCAGGGATTAAAGTGTTCCGTCGCTACGACGGATTTCCATCAGTTAATAAAGACAGTCACTTGCTTCATTCCTGAATGATTCAGTCGTCCGAACGAATCAATTGAATGAATGAATCAGTGATAAAATCAGTGACTTGCCGCCACCTGCTGGTGGATTTAGGTTCATTTTTAGCGTATAATTTCATATTTCTGTATTCAAAATTGTATATTTAAAACATTCATCTCCACATGAATTTATGAATTTAATTGCACTCATGCTACCTCTGAGCCTCATTAAACGTCTAAAAATCATCTTCATCATCATCATCAATCACCTTCTGATCAATAATCAAAAATGATGATCAAAAATTAGCCTTCCTAATACGAGGTGACATGTGACTCCTTAAAGTGACTGACAGGAGTATTTTCTTTTTACCTTTGTAATGGCATAATTTTCATCTACGTCAAATTCAAAAATGTATGTTTATAATCTTTTTAAAATTTCTATTTAAAACAATATGTAGAATAAGACAAATAAGTTACCAATCATATGAAATTAGTATTAATAAATTAATTTGTACTACAGAGGTGGTGCAGAAGAACACAAAAGTGGCTTGTAGGTACATTTTCAGACGTTTAATGAGGCTCGGAGGTGGCATGAGTGCAATTAAATTCATAAATTCATGTGGAGATTAATGTTTTAAATATACAATTTTGAATACAGAAATACGAAATTATACGATAAAAATTAAACTAAGTCCGCCAGCAGGTGGCGGCAAGTCACTGATTTTATCACTGATTCATTCATTCAATTGATTCGTTCGGACGACTGAATCATTCAGGAATGAAGCAAGTGACTGTCTTTATTAACTGATGGAAATCCGTCGTAGCGACGGAACTTTAATCCCTGCGTACCTTGCTGTCGTGGTCGATGAGGCTGACGGCTTTCCCGTCCACCTGCAGGATCATGTCCTGCGTCCAAACCTTTCCTTTAGCGTCCAGCAGACGCAGCTTTCTGATGCCGTCCTCGATGGTCAGCATGGCCTCCTTGCGGTCCATCACAAACGTGGACAGATGCTGCAGGAGACAAAAGTCAAGTCACCTTTATTTCTATAGCGCTTTATTGATTCAAAGCAGACAGAAAAACACAGAGCTTCTCAACTTGGCTTTGCTTTGCTTTTAGGGTTTAAAAGAATTAATATTCAGTAACATTTTTTGATTGAACTGCACTGACACTATTGGATGAGAATAAAACCTGAACTGAATAAAGACTTCTGCGGAGCTGCTTTACAGGTAAAACTGAATTTGTTTCACAATTGATGAATTTTGCAACATTATCACTGTTACTTTCCTGTTTATTACGGAGAAGCTGCTTTGAAACAGTCTGTATTGCATAAAGCTCTATAGAAATAAAGGTGTGTCATAATGTGGTTATTATAGTTAACTAAAACTGAAACTAAAATTAAAAATAAAAAACATTTTTGTTACATGAAATATAATAAATGTTAACTGAAATAAAAATAAAATATAAAAAAGTCATTTTCATTCAATTCAATTCAAGCTCAATTCAAGTTTATTTGTATAGCGCTTTTTATGATACAAATAGTTGCAAAGCAACTTTACAGAAAATTAAGTTTCTACAATATTTAGTAGTAGCTTATTAGTGGTTAGTTTCTCATTTTCATTTAGTTTAACTTGATGCACTAAAATAATTAAAACGTAAACCGATTATTAAAATCTACACAGACATATATAAAAATAACAGAAACTACAAAAAATTACAAAATTGCTAAAACTTTAGCTGAAACGAAAATAAAAATGCAAAACAAAAATAAAAACGCATTCTAAAATATTAATTAAAAACTATAATAGTATGATGCCTAAATAACATGCTTCAGGACAAAGAATTTACACTGGCAGCCAAATTCATATTTATACCAATTCATTCATATTTAAAGTGTATGACTTTCTGTCTTTTGTAAAATAAGATATTTTGAAGAACGTTAAAGTTTAAACAACATTGGACCCCATTGACTTCCACTGCATGGACAACACTTTCAAAATATCTTCTTTTACAGAAGAAAGAAAGTCATACAGGAGTCAATGATGACAGAATGATCATTTCTGGATGAATTATCCTTTTAATGTCACCTGTGTTGTATTTTCCTGGTTTCTGAGGATGAGTTCATGTGTTGATGTGTGTCTAACTGTTTAATACAGAGTCAGAACTGATCCTAGTATGATCAGATCTTCACTCATCTCCGTCTATTCTCCTGAACGGATGCGTGTCTCACCTCCACATGGTACTGTGACGTGTCCGTCAGGCTGTTGATGCTGTTTTTGGTGTAGTTCTTCCTATGTTCTGAGGAAAGAGCAGATCTCGTTATATAATCGCCGTTAGAAGCACACAAGCGTGTCCAGACGGAATCTGCATCTTCTGCTGTGATTCTGGAGCTCTACACAGCTGATCGATCGGCCTCAATCGGGAACAGATTCTGTGTGGACGCGTAAGACCGAACACATCAAATCACACGCGTGTGAGGAGTTCATGAAGCAGGAGCAGATTCAGCTGGGAAACTAGCAGGAGAGGAGAAGACTGGACACACACACACACACACACACACACACACAGAGTCCATCAGCTTCTACCTTTCTTTTTGTGTTTGGTGGAGGTGTGCAGGAAATACACTCCATCTGTTTCTGAGAGCGACGGTGCAGAGAAAACACACACACACACACACACACACATTACACTGCCATTCAAAAGTTTAGAATCAGTACGATTTTTATTACTTTTTAAAGCAGTCTCTTCTGCTCATCAAGGCTGCATTTATTTGACCAAATATACAGAAAAAACTGTAATATTGTGAAATATTATTACAATTTAAAATAATGGTTTTCTGTTTTAATATATTTTAAAATATAATTTATTTCTGTGATGCGCAGCTGAATTTCCAGCATCATTACTCCAGTCTTCAGTGTCACATGATCTTCAGAAATCATTCTAATATGCTGATTTATTGTCAATGTTGGAAACAGTTGTGCTGCTTAATACTTTTTTGGAACCTCTGATACTTTTTTCAGGATTCTTTGATGAATAAACAGTTTAAAAGAACAGCATTTATTCCAAATAGAAAACTTTTCTAACAATATAAGTCTATACTGTCAATTATTATCAATTTAACACATCCTTGCTGAATAAGAGTATTAATTTCTTTAAAAAAATTAAAATAATTTACTGACCCCAAACTTTTGAACATTAGTGTATATTGGTACAAAAGATTTCTATTTTAAGTAAATGCTGTTCTTTTTAACTTTATATTCATCAAAGAATCCTGAAAAAAGTATCAGTGGTTCCAAACAAAAAATTTAAAAAGACAAGCAGCAAAACTGTTTCTAACATTGATAATATTTCTGAAGATCATGTGACACTGAAGACTGGGGTAATGATGCTGAAAATTCAGCTTTGCATCACAGAAATAAATTACATTTTAAAGTATATTAAAATAGAAAAACATTATTTTAAATTGTAATAATATTTCACAATTTTGCTGTTTTTACTCCATTTTTGATCAAATAAATGCAGCCTTGATGAGCAGAAGAGACTTCTTTAAACTTCTTTAAAACCTCTTGTGCTGTAATACGGCACACACACACACACACACACACTCACACACACACACACACACA